CAGATTACAGCCAGGGGAAGACATTGCAAGGATCGTTGATTAAAAAAAAATCTACACAAGGCATTCGGATGGGGGGGGGGCGGCGACTCCGGAATAATAGAACTAGTAAGAAATGAAATTAGCTTTTCACTTGTACGCCGGCTACCCGGGGATCATTTAAGTCTCTTTACAAATGTTAAAGATGACAGCTGTACAAAAAAAGCAGCGGGGGAGGCGTAGCGGATATTTCACAAACGACATATAATGGGGAGGGCGGGCTTACTGTCCACCGCAAAACTTTTCATTCCATGACTTGTTAGAAAGTTCAGCTCAGCACTATTTGCTTCTAAAATTGCGTAAAAAAAAAAAAAGCCAAAAAAAAGACAGCAAAAAAAAAAAAAAATGACAGACAAAAAAATAAAGACAAAAAAAAAAGAAAAAAAAGACAGACAAAAAAAAAAAAAAAGACAAAAAAAAAGAGAGACAAAAAAAAGACAAAAAAAGACAGACCAAAAAAAAGCCCTGAAAAAAGAAAAGAAAAAAAAAGACAAAAAAAGACAGACAAAAAAAAAGCTGAAAAAAAAGACACAAAAAAAAAGAAAAAAAAAGACAAAAAAGACAGACAAAAAAAAAAAGAAAAAAAAAAGACAGACAGACAAAAAAAAAGCTGAAAAAAAAGACAGACAAAAAAAAAGCTGAAAAAAAAGACAGACAAAAAAAAAGAAAAAAAAAAGACAAAAAAGACAGACAAAAAAAAAGAAAAAAAAAGAAAAGACAAAAAAAGACAGACAAAAAAAAAGAAAAAAAAAGACAGACAAAAAAAAAAGAAAAAAAAAAAAAGACAGACAGAAAAAAAAAAGCTGAAAAAAAAGACAGACAAAAAAAAAAAGCCGAAAAAAAAAGGACAAAAAAGACAGACAAAAAAAAAGCCGAAAAAAAGACAGACAAAAAAAAAAGAAAAAAAAGACAGACAAAAAAAAGGCCGAAAAAAAAGACAGACAAAAAAACAAAAAAAAAAAAAGATAAAAAAGACAGACAAAAAAAAAAAAGAAAAAAAAGACCAAAAAAAGACAGACCAAAAAAAAGCCCCGAAAAAAAAAAAAAAGACAAAAAACACAGCCGAAAAAAAGACAAAAAAGAAGACAAAAAAAAGACAAAAAAAAAAAAAAAAAAGGCTGGCTGGACACAAAACGTTCATTTTAAAATATCTTCCTCAATAGCCACAGAGGACAGAAATCTTTTGAGCACAGCAAATGCTTTTTAAAGCGGATCTCTCATTTAATTATATTCTTGCCAAAGGACATAAATCCACTTTTGAAGTACCAAACTCAGGTATTACCTTGTAAAAGTAGCAGTGACACCATCACTGTGCTGTACATAGCCTATGCAGAGAGCAGAGCTGTGGGAGGGGCCCAACAGGCTCCACCTGCTTCAGGTTGTCTGTAGAAAACTACAGGAGGGGGGCGGAGACAAGACCAGTCACCCTGCACAAGGAGAGAGAGCAGCAGCGAGGGGTCTTTATTACAGGAAGCCACATTTAAACACTGGATTATTGCACAGATCTGGAAGAAAGCACGCCAAGATTCAAGAATACACATGACTGATGGATTTGGACAGTATTTACTTATCTCGGAGTTTGGCCTTAAAGGGAAACTACAGCCACAAAAAAAGACATATACGATATAGTCCATGGGTGTCAAACTGGCGGCCCTCCAGCTGTTCCCAAACTACAAGTCCCATGAGGCATTGCAAGATTGATAGTTACAAGCATGACTCCCTAAAGCATAGGCATGATGGGATTTGTAGTTTGGGAACAGCTGGAGGGCCACCAGTTTGACACCGCTGATGTAGTCTGTCGCTGGCATCAAAAAGACCCTGTCACCAGCTTACGAAATTGCAGGTAAAAATACAGAAAAATTAAGTATTTTAAGTGGCTGCTTTTTCCATTCCATAAACCATTTTTTTTAAAAAATTCTATTGCAGTATGGGGGCTAAGTGGTTCGCACTTCCACCTGGAAGCACTAGGGGTGTCAGTTCAAATCCCAGCCACGGCAGTAACAGTGGCTTAGTGGTTAGCACGTCTGCCTTGCAGTAAATGGGTCATGGGTTTGATTCCCAACCATGGCGCCTCCTGCATGGAGTTTGCATGTGCTTGCGTGGGTTTCCTCCAGGTACTCCAGTTTCCTCTCACACTCCAAAGACATGCTGGTAGGTTAATTGGCTCCTGTCTAAGTTGTCCCTAGTATGTGTATGTATGAATGTGAGTTAGGGACCTTAGATTGTACGCTCCTTGAGGGTTAGGGACTGATGTGAATGTGCAATATATGTATGTAAAGTGCTGTGTAAATTGAGGGTGCTATATAAGTACAGTTGCAAGAAAAAGTATGTGAACCCCTTGGGATTACGTGGAGTTTTGCATGAATTGGGCATAAAATGTGCTCTGAACGTCATCTAAGTCACAACAATAGAAGAACACAGTTTGCTGAACATAATACTACACAAACATTAGATGTTGCCATGGTTTAATTGCACATAACATGTAAACATTCACAGTGCAGGGAGGAAAAAGTATGTGAACCTTTGGACTTAATAACTGGTTGACCCTCCTTTGGCAGCAATAACCTCAACCAAACGTTTCCTGTAGTTGCAGATCAGACCTGCACAACGATCTGGAGTCATTTTGGACCACTCCTCTTCACAAAACTGTTTCAGTGTAGCAATATTCTTGGGATGTCTGGTGTGAATCGCTCTCTTAAGGTCATGCCACAGCATTTCAATCGGGTTGAGGTCAGGACTCTGACTGGGCCACTCCAGAAGGCGTATTCTGTGCTGTTGCAGCCATTGTTTTGTTGAATTACTTGTATGCTTTGGGTCATTGTCCTGTTGCTTCACCCATCCTCTGCGGAGCTTCAGTTGGCGGACAGATGGTCGTACGTTTTCCTGCAAAATGTCTTGATAAACTCTGGAATTCATTTTCCCATCAATGACAACAATCCGTCCAGGCCCTGAGGCAGCAAAGCAGCCCCAAACCATGATGCTCCCTCCGCCATGTTTTACAGCGGGGATGAGGTTTTGATGTTGGTGTGCTGTGCCTTTTTTTCTCCACACATAGTGTTGTGTGTTCTTCCCAAACAACTCAATCTTGGTTTCATCTGTCCACAGTATATTTTGCCAGTAGTGCTGTGGAACATCCAGGTGCTCTTTTGCAAACTTCAAACGTGCTGCAATATTCTTTTTGGACAGCAATGGCTTCCTCCGTGGTGTCCTCCCATGTACTCCATTCTTGTTTAATGTTTTCCTTATTGTAGATGTGTCAACAAAAATGTTAGCATGTGCCAGAGATTTCTGTAGGTCTTTAGCTGACACTCTGCAGCATTCTGCACTGGCAGTCATTTTTACATTCTTCTTTACCTCATGCAACAGCACTTTCTGCGCTGTGCTCTTGCAGTCATTTTTACAGGACGACCATCAAGGCTAGGGAGATACTTTTGTAAGCAGCTTCAGTGCAAAACTTTCTTGATTTTTCTCTTTTCTGCGAGGCATGGTTCACATCAGACAGTGCTTCTTGAAACCAGTAAACCCAAAACAGGTGTGTGTTTTTTAAGGGCAGGACAGCTGTCAGCAACACATCCAATATCATCACACTGATTGGAGTCAAGGTTGGCTCACTCCTGGCTCCAATTAGCTCTGGGAGAAGTCATTAAGCTAGGGCCTCACATACTTTTTCCTCCCTGCACTGTGAATGTTTACATGTTATGTGCAATTAAACCATGGCAACATCTAATGTTTGTGTAGTATTATGTTCAGCAGACTGTGTTCTTCTATTGTTGTGACTTAGATAACGTTCAGAGCACATTTTATGCCCAATTCATGCAAAACTCCACGTAATCCCAAGGGGTTCACATACTTTTTCTTGCAACTGTACCTGAAATAAATAACTGCATGGAGTTTGAATGTTGTGCTTGTGTTTCCTCCCACAGTCCAAAGACATGCTGGTAGGTTAATTGGCTCCTGTCTAAATTGGCCCTAGTATGTGAGTTAGGGATCTTAGATTGCAAGCTCCTTGGGAGCCAGGACTAGGTGTAGTTCTGCAACAGCTGGAGGGCCACAGGTTGAGCACCCATGTTCTAACCCAGGGGTGGGCAACTGTGGCCCTCCAGCTGTTGATGAATGACAAGTCCCATCATGCCTTTGGGAATCATGCTTGTAACTGTCAGTTTTGCAACACCTCATGGGACTTGTAGTTCTACAACAGCTGGAGGGCCACAGTTGCCCACCCCTGGTCTAACCCATTATTCTCAATCTAAAAAAGAAACTGAACAACTATAAAGCTCCATGCACCCGGGGCGTTTTATTAAAGCTGGTAGCGTCAGCTGTGTAAACCTGTCACGCCGGCTGAACGCAAATGTGCGGCCTCCCGGGGGCTGGGCCTAGACGCCAAGCGGCCGCACATTTGCGTTCTATTAAAAAATGACATATGTGCCGAGAGCGCGCGCCCTTGCACGCTCCCAGCACACATATCCGGTACTCACAGAAAGGTCCCGATCTCCTCTTTCGATCGAGACCTTTCCCGGTCATGTGACCGCTGCGACGGTGCATCACGGCGGTCACATGACTCTAAACCCCACCCGCCTCCCGGAACTCGAAAAGGGCCAGGAGGTGCCGGCGTGAAGGGTTTTAAAAAAAAAGCAAGTTTTTCAGCGTGTTTGCATTAGCATGTAGCCGCGATTTTCCGTGTTTGTGTTTTTTGCACACAAACTTTTTTTTGCTCAAAAACGTGTCTTACCGCGTTTTTTAGTGTTGGAGCATTTTTACAGCTCAAAACTCCTCCAGAAACCCACTAGTTCTGGGTGTTTTTTCCAGCCAAAAAATGCTGATTAAAGCCTAGGTGTGCATGGACACATAGGATAACATGCTGGGGATGGACACATAGGATAACATGCCGGGGATGGACACATAGGATAAAACGCGGGAATGGACACACAGGGAATGGACACACAGGATGGACACATACATGCCGGGGATGGACACACAGGATAACATGCCGGGGATGGACACACAGGATAACATGCTGGGGATGGACACATAGGAGAACATGCTGGGGATGGACACATAGGAGAACATGCCGGGGATGGACACATAGGAGAACATGCCGGGGATGGACACATAGGGATAACATGCTGGGGATGGGACACATAGGAGAACATGCTGGGGATGGACACATAGGAGAACATGCTGGGGGATGGACACATAGGAGAACATGCCGGGGATGGACACATAGGAGAACATGCCGGGGATGGACACATAGGATAACATGCCGGGGGGATAACATGCCATGGGGATGGACACATAGGATAACATGCCGGGGATGGACACATAGGATAAAACATGCTGGGAATGGACACACAGGATAACATGCCGGGGATGGACACACACAGGATAACATGCCGGGGATGGACACATAGGATAACATGCTGCCGGGGATGGACACATAGGATAAAACGCTGGGAATGGACACACAGGATAACATGCCGGGGATGGACACACAGGATAACATGCCGGGGATGGACACATAGGATAGGATAACATGCCGGGGATGGACACATAGGATAAAACGCCGGGGATGGACACATAGGATGACACGCCGGGGATGGACACATAGGATGACACGCCGGGGATGGACACACAGGATAACACGCCGGGGATGGACACGTAGGATAACACGCCGGGGGGATGGACACATAGGATAACACGCCGGGGATGGACACATAGGATAACACGCCGGGGATGGACACATAGGATAACACACGCGGGAATGGACACATAGGATAACACATAGGATAACATGCGCTGGGGGATTGGATACCCGGGGATGGACACATAGGATAACACGCCGGGGGGATGGACACATAGGATAACACGCCGGGGATGGACACATAGGAGAAAATGCGGGGGATGGACACATAGGAGAACATGCCGGGGATGGACACATAGGAGAACATGCCGGGGATGGACACATAGGATAACACGCCGGGGATGGACACATAGGAGAACATGCTGGCGGACTGACTGTAGACTGTAGAAAAAAACACCAAAAGCCAAGAACAGCCGCTGTAAAAAACGTCCCGTGTGAATGAGGCATAAATGTAACCCAAGCTTTGTTTGTATTTAGGTAACGGCTTCCAGAAGGATGTCAGCGTCATTGAGACGTCGGGGCCATCTGAGGGGGGGGGGGGGGGGTAAAAAGCAGATGCAGGAATTTGCACGCCTGCTCGGATTTCAGATCTCATTAAAGCAAAGTGCGTGACCCGCTCACAGCACAGGAAGGATTATATTTTCCTCCAAGATTATAATTCGCTTAGGAATTCAGGATCCGTATTTATTTTCAGGCGCTGATAAGACGCACTAATGAGACGAAATGTCATTAGAAGGAACACGCTACTTTCTCCAGAAACATTGTTAAAGTGGAACTCTCCATGGAGAGGACAATGAGGATCCACGTCGGCTGGAAGGAGCTTTAGAAAACTTTGCTGCAGGTTCTTCCCAGGATTCCTAGCACACTTTTATTGAACACTGGGCACCTCTCCAACCAGACTGACCATTTGGAAACTCGGGCACTGCCCGAGGGCCCGGGGTCAGTAGGGGGCCCCATGAGATGCTGTTGGTACCTTTCATAGGCTTTTTTGGGTGTGGTTTAAGTTTGGACGAGGACACAGGGGCCCCATGATCCCCTATTGCCCGGGGGGGCCCCACCTAACTCTTCTCACACCATGGCAGGGCCCAGCACTGACACTCACCAAAGGCAAGTCTTAACAAAACCTCTGAATTCCAGGTCCCAAACTGTTTTACCAATCCTACTGGCAATTGAAAATCCAGTTTCCTCTGCATGACACAACCACTCTGGAGCCCCTAAACCTACCCGAATGAGAACCCTGGGTGACACCTAACCCTTCTCACACCAGGCAGGGCCCAGCTCTGACACACACCAAAGGCAAGTCTCACCAAAACCTCTGAATTCAAGAACCAAACTGTTTTGCTAATCCTACTGGCAATTGAAAATCCAGTTTCCTCTGCATGACACAAGTACTCTGGAGCCCCTAAAACTACCCAGGTGAGAACCGTGGGTGACACCTAACCCTTCTCACACCATGGCAGGGCCCAGCACTGGCACTCACCAAAGTCAAGTCTCAACAAAACATCTGAATTCCAGGTCCCAAACTGTTTTACCAATCCTACTGACAACCGAAAATCCAGTTTCCTCTGCATGACACAAGTACTCTGGAGGCTCTAAACCAGGGGTTGGCAATTGTGGCCCTCCAGCTGTTGGTGAACTACAAGTCCCATCATTCCTCTGCCTTTGGGAATCATGCTTGTAACTGTCAGTTTTGCAATGCCTCATCGGACTTGTAGTTCTGCAACAGCTGGAGGGCCACAGTTTCCCACCCCTGCCCTAAACCTACCCGGATGAGAACCCTGGGTGACACCTAACCCTTCTCACACCAGGGCAGGGCCCAGCACTGACACTCACCAAAGGCAAGTCTCAACAAAACCTCTGAATTCCAGGTCCCAAACTGTTTTACCAATCCTACTGGCAGCCGAAAAGCCAGTTTCCTCTGCATGACACAAGCACGCTGGAGCCCCTAAACCTACCCAGATGAGAACCCAGGGTGACACCTAACCCTTCTCACGCCATGGCAGGGCCCAGCACTGACACTCACTAAAGACAAGTCTCTACAAAACCTCCGGGCTCCAGGAGCTAAAACTACGTTTTATCAATTTTTGTGGAATCTGAAAATCCAGTTTCTTCTGTATGACACAAGCACTCTGGAGCCCCTAAACCTACCCAGATGAGAACTCCCTTTTCACACCATAGCAGGGCCCAGCACTGACACACACCAAAGGCAAGTCTCTACAAAACCTCCGGGCTCCAGGACCTAAACTATGTTTTATCAATCTTTGTGGAAACTGAAAATCCAGTTTCTTCCGTATGACACAAGCACCCTGGAGCCCCTCAAAGCACCTGGATGATAACTCTGGATGACACCTAACCCTTTCCAGGAATTACAGGCTCCACAATTATATAGCACCAACAATTTAAATATTGCACATTTACGTCAACTCCTAGTCTCAAGGAGCTTACAATGTAAGACCCCCATCTCACAATTTGGAAAGGAGCCTATTAACCTACCAGCCTGGAGTTTGGGGTGTGGGAGGAAACCCACACAGGCACAGGAAGAACATGCAAACTCCATGTAGAGAGTGTCGTGGTTTGAACTGAGGACCCCATTGCTGCAATGCTGGTGAGCAGAAGTGCCAACCATTAAGCCACCATGCTGCAGCATTGAAATGGCACCTCTCTGAGCCAGACTCAACAATAAACGTACGTTGTCAGCGTTGTCAGCCTACTCTGTTGCTTGATATGAATTCATTTTCAGGGGTTTCTGTTATTCTGTCCACCCCCTATAAATACCCCTCTCATCATCTCCCACTTAGCCCTAAAAATAACGCAGGTACATAAAGAGAACATCGCTTTGCCAACTTATTTATAAAAATATATATATATATCTCCAGTAGTTACGGGCTTTAGCAGCGCACATGTGGAAGAAACAATGACACAATGCAGAATGACAAATCTTTCTTTGAAGCGCACAACAATAGGACGCGCTGCTCTTCATAACCTGCGCGATTATTGTGCCACGCATCGCTTTATTTCCTCCCGTACAGCGTGCCACCATTATCCACGGCTGGGAACGAGGAGATAAAACGGGGAACAAAGCGTTTTTTTAAACTTGCTAAATATGTGGCTTTTTAATATGTCATCTGCTCCTTTCTGCCGCTCTTGTCATTGAACAATAGGCGCCGTCTGTCTTTATCTGCCGGGGTACATCAGGCCGCTTTGTGTTGACATTTGAAAGGCGTTTTCGACGTAAGCAAAATCTGGTCCAGAAAGGTGCTCGGCCCCCGTCCAGACCTCAGCCGATATCAATTGAACAGCAAAGAAAAAAAAAAATCATTGTGATTGCTGCAGAACACCATTACTTAAATAGGGAGAGATGGAGCGGGCAATTCCGGAACTCCATCTGTAGGGGGACTACAAATCGCATCGTGCCTCTTCTGGGAGCCATGCCTGCTGCTGTCAGAGTCCTGCAATGCTCCGTGAGACCTGAACTTCCACAACAGCTGGAGTACCAAGTAGTGATGCGCCCAAATGAAAATTCTGCACTTGGGCGTTTTTGCATTGAAGTCACTGGGGGCGTCTTTGCATTGAAGTCAATGGGTACGTGACTTTGCACGAAAGTCTAAGAGAAGTGATTTTGCATTGAAGTCACTAGGGGGTGTTTTTGCATCGAAGTCAATGGGTACGTGACCTTGCATGGAAGTCTAAGAGAAGTGATTTTGCATTGAGGTCACTGGGGGGGGGGGGGGGGGGTTGCATTGAAGTCAATGGGTACGTGACTTTGCATGAAAGTCTAAAAGAAGTGATTTTGCATTTAAGTCACTAGGGGGTGATTTTGCATTGAAGTCAATAGGGACGCAACTTTACATAAAAGTCTATGAGATGTGATTTTGCATTGAAGTCAATAGGTACGTGACTTTGCATGAAAGTCTAAGAGAAGTGATTTTGCATTGAAGTCACTAGGGGGTGTTTTTGCATTGAAGTCAATGGGTACGCAACTTTGCATGAAATTTTAAGAGACTCAATTTTGCATTGAAGTCAATGGGTACGTGACTTTGCATGAAAGTCTAAGATAAGTGATTTTGCATTGAAGTCATTGGGGGGTGATTTTGCATTGAAGTCAATAGGGAGGCAACTTTGCATAAACGTCTATGAGATGCGATTTTGCATTGAAGTCACCAGGGGGGCGTTTTTGCATTGAAATCAATGGGAACGTGACTTTGCATGAAAGTCTATGAGACACGATTTTGAATTGCAGTCAATGGGGACGTGACTTTGCATGAAAGTCTATGACTTGCGATTTTGCACTGAAGTCAATAGGGGGGGGGGGGGGGGGGGGGGGGAGTTTTTGCATAAAAGTCAATGGGGGAAGCAACTTTGCATGAAAGTATACGAGATGCGATTTTGCACTGAAGTCACTAGGGAGTGTTTTTGAATTGAAGTCGATGGGGATGTACCATTGCCTGAAAGTCTATAAGATGCAGTTTTTGCATTAAGTCACTAGGGGGCGTTTTTACATTGCCATCAATAGGGATGCGATTTGCATGAAAGTCTATGAGACACGAGTTTGCATTAAAGTCACTAGAGGGCATTTTTGCATTGAAGTCAATGGTGACACAACTTTGCATTAAAGTCTGAGACGCGCTTTTGCACTGAAGTCACTAGGGGGCGTTTTTGCATTGAAGTCAATGGGAACATGACTTTGCATGAAAGTCTATGAAACACGATTTTGAATTGAAGTCAATGGGGACGTGACTTTGCATGAAAGTCTATGACATGCGATTTTGCACTGAAGTCAATAGGGGGGGGAGTTTTTGCATAAAAGGTAATGGGGGAAGCAACTTTGCATGAAAGTTTATGAGACCTGATTTTGCATTGATGTCACTAGGGGGCATTTTTGCATTGAAGTCAATGGGTACGCGTCTTTGCATGAAAGTCTATGAGACGTGATTTTGCATTAAAGTCACTAGGGGCATTTTTGCATTGACGTCAATAGGAACACGACTTTGATGCAAAATCACGTCTCCTAGACTTCCATGCAAAGTCGTGTTCCTATCGACGTAAATGCAAAAATGCCCCTAGTGACTTCAAAGCAAAATCACATCTCCTAGACTTTCATGAAAAGTCACTAGGGGGCATTTTTGCATGAAAGTATATGAGACGCGATTTTGCATTGAAGTCACTAGGGAGCATTTTTGCATTGAAGTCAATGGGGACACAAGTTTCCATGAAAATCTATGAGATGAGATTTTGCATTAAAGTCACTGTATGTATCTACACCATTAATTGCACCTTTATTCCTATCGGCAAAATGCTGATAACACTATTTTCGGCTGGTATGTTTTGGCCGCCAATACATCGA